TCCTCGAAAATTTCTCATACAATTTTTGTTCAATCACTTTAACAATTCTATTTAAAACCCGAGGTGAAATATTACTTATCAGTAGCGGTATTCAGAGTGAAGTGTTGTACCCTTCCTCAACCTCATTCCCATCAAACCACATCCTTAATTTATTTTTATTTAAATTCCGTTTTTTTTCAACCTCGAGTTGATACTGTAATTGCTTTATCCGTCCAAATTACCAGTGCAAGATTCTCTCAGAACTTTCTCACTGCATTGCACTCACAAACATAATATTCCTCGCCAATTTCAAAAACGTTTTTTATTTTCACTTTGTTATTCTTTTATTTTGGTTGGATGAGTGTGGATAATTATCGAGAGAGGAGTTATTGTGAGAGGAGAGTGGAGGTGAAAAAGAGTCAAAGAAGATTTGAGATACGTCAATGCTCAGTAATGTATCCCCTGATTGAGAAATATCACGTCACTTTGGGAGAACAAAGACCTTAGCTCTGTTCTCTTGACTCTGTATTTGTGGTAGGATGAATCCTAATTCAGCACTACTCGACGATATTTATCACGCGTGAACTCTCCTTATTTGTGCTTCCCAGGGTCTCTTTATCCCCACTTTGATGCATGGTATACCGATGTGTCTGGTGAAATTCTTTTTGATTATAATAATCACCTTTGACTTAACATCCAAGATGCATCGCGTGCGCAAAAGTTTGATCATAAAAACCTAGTGTGGTCTTCATTCTAATCAAGTTTTGTGGTATAATTTCGGTGATCCGATTTCAAAATGACGATGATGAAATTGGGAATATTTGTTGGTTTCTTCGTTGGCGGTGTTTGATTGAAATTTTTAAGACAATTGTGTAGATTGAGATTGATATTTCAATGTTATTCGAAGTCACACGTTTGGAGATTAAATATTAATTTTCCTACACGCAAATCTCTTAAAATATTTGAACCAGGCGCTTTTAAGCATGAAAAAAAATAGATTCAGAATCGTTGGTCGTTAGATCTGTGCACTAAGTGTTAAATGGTTGAAAAACATCGTTCACAAAATTCAATTGTATTTTTTGACACTCAACACGAGAAATGCAAATAATAAAATTGTCAAATTAAGCTTGAGAATCTGTCGCGGAGTAATTTGTCTCCTTAACTCCTTCATGGGGGGCCATGGCGAAACTTGAATGTCTTTGGTCGCTCATGTTCCATGATAAGACACAATAAAATAGGGGAAATCTGTTGAACTAAAACCAGGCTATTTGGGATATTTGGTAGCAACACAAGATTCATAACGTGACAAATGTCTCTAAAGATGATATCTGTTTTCAATTGAAAAGCGCAATTGTGACAACATTGTCCAGTGGGGTCTAGGAGTCTCCCCTGGTTCAAAACCATCTTTAGAGGTCCTAGCACGCCATTTCTCGACCCGCTCTTTCGTTTGAGCCCAAAAAAACATTTATATCTTGTCTGACATCTTTGCTACAAAGTCGGGTTTTCAACTCTGGCTTTCAATTGAAAACCCGAGTTGAAAACCCGAGTTTGTAGCAGCGATGTCAGACAAGATATGAAAGTTTTTTTGGGCTCAAATGAAAGAGCGGGTCGAGAAATGACGTGCTAGAGCCTCTAAACATGACAAAAAAAATAAAAATTTGGAATATCTATACATGAGGGGCTAATTGATCGGATCTGTTCACCCGGCTAAAAAATTCGATTTTGGCGAAAGTCGACCTTCCCCGGAAAAACCGAAAATCTGACCCTTTGAAAATTTAAAAAAAAAAACTTTTTCAGTTTTCACTTTTTTCACATACTTTTGAGAGTTCTGAATAGCCCGTCGCTCAAATAGTTGGAATCAACGCTCACCCAGCTAAAAAATTCGATTTAGGCGAAAGTCGATTTTCCCTCTGGAAAAACAGAAAATCTGACTCTTTGGCTCGGGGTGAAAAAAAAAATTTTATTTCGACTTTTGTCGCGCCTTCGGGGGTTTCATTGGCATCAGAATTGTTAGAAAATACAGAATCAACTTTCACTTGGCGAAAAAATTCAATTTTGGCGAAAATCGACTTTCACCCTTGACCCACGTGAAAATGAAAAATTTTTTTTCCCCATTTCTGTCACCTCCGAGGGTTTCATTGGCATCAGGGGGTCAATAAATACAGAATCAACGTTCACTATTTTTTATTTAAACACCGCCTGCAAACGACGAGATGAGGGTGGCTAAAATATATTCTGCAACCCTGTCTCCTCGTTGGCTATAAATTTCAACCCTCCGCATACATGCCTTCCCCTTTACCCGCTCGTAAAATCACGCGTTCTCGGTAGCATCGAGGAGGACTTCTCAGGACCGAAAAGAACTGAGGATTCGAATGGTCTCTGGAAAAGTACGTCGCAGAACTGATTAGGACTTACCAGGTCCATCTAGGTCTGGAGAGATCTTGAAAGACCTGTGTACGTCCAATCAGAACCAAATCCTCGACTCGGGTCGTCAGTTGTTACTGACGTGTAATTGCACACCCGCATGTTGCGTTTAATTCGAATCCCGCGATCGACTTTCTCCGACCTCTTAGAACCACAAAAACTAACAAAACCAATTGAGAAAAATCCTCGATATTCGTCGGTTTTTTCCGCATAAAAACTGAATGAAATTAGTGCCAGCAGTGGAATTTGATGATGCTAATTAATTATCATTCTTCACTGGTAGTGATCCTCATTTGGCTTCAAAGATTCATCATTCAAGACGATGCCCGAAGGTGCATGGACCGATTAGACTATATATGCTTGTGTTAGGATATCCCCGGTTGTGGTTGAGTAATACGAGAGTGAAGCGAGTGAGGTGTCTCGGGCTCGTCTGTCGAAACCAGACGGCCGAGGGGAATATCTTTCTCAAAAATAAAGGAGAAAAAAAGGGACACGCTGCGAAGGAGGTCATGCCTGGGCTCTGCATGGATGGGAAGCCTTGATTGCCTCGTTAAATAATGCTCATCTCGCGTCTTTCTTTACCTGGAGTACTCTAAAACACGTGGCTGTCTCAAACAATTTATGAGTATTCCATAACACTTGGCTATCTATTAAATAAGGAAAAATGGAGAGAAAATGGAGGTGGAATTTCAAATGAGGAAAATCATTGAGTAAAAACAGGCACTGAGTTGTGCTTCAATTTTTTTCACCTATTTTTTCTCGAATAATTTTAAGGTCATTAGTACAATCGGTGTTTAAGATACTGTTTCGAAGGAAGAGTATAATAACTCTGTTAAGGAGAAGTTCATTTTTAAAATATTTGTTATGTGGTGAAACGTAACAACAAGTTGATTTTTCACTTTTTGTTGAATACGGAACTGTTCTACTAATGGAGGATTTTAAGAGAAAATGTTTTCACAATTTCTTGGACGTAAAATTGCTAACAAACTTTTTTCCATGCCTTCTTCCACCAAAAAAATTGTCTTAGTTTTTTTCCTCTAAATCCGCTTTTTTCTAAGATAAAAGGAGGAAAAATACAAATCAGTTTTGTTACGCTATACTTATTTAACACAGATAAATACAGAAAAATAACTCGTGTTCATTAGGAATCGCAAATATTACATTATTCTGGGAATTGCTATAATTTCTTGGGTATTTTAGTAGACAATTTTAAAATTTTTTCAGACTTTTACGTTCTTGCGCAACATTGGCATCAATTGTCAAGGAAAAGAACGACAAAAAAACAAATTTTTTTGAGAAGTACGTCTTACTTATATCAAGAAACTTGTGGCTTAAAAATTTTCAATAGCAAAATTTCTTGCACTGAGAAAAAAAAATTTTGTCAGGAAATTTTGTACTTGTCCTAAAGACGAGGACAATTTCTTGATGACAAGAAAGCGATTTCTCAAACCAAATAAAATTTAATTATTTCATTTAATAGTTTTTTAGCCTCAGTTCCAAAATATTTTAATGCAAAAACCACTTGAATTGATTTGAGAACTCCTTTTCTTGAAATGAGCCAATTGCCCTCATCTTTCGGACTAGTATAAAATTTTTTGGCGTACGATTTTTTTTTCTTACATGAGTGCGTTTGGTATTTTCCATGACTTTCTTCACGCAAGTAAAGACGTACTTCTCAAAAAACTCTTGTCTTCTCAGTGTAGGGAAAAATTATTGGAATTCCCGAAGAGTTCGCTATATTTTCATTGAATAAAAATGAAAGAGGAATTTCTTTTTGTATTCCATCGTCATATTAGCAAGAGAAAATAATTGACAAAAAATTCCAATTTCACAAATGCTGCATTCTGCCATGAAACTGAAAGTGTAAAAAAAAATCATGAGAACTGTGGGAACAGCAGATACCAAGTTATTTCGTTGTACCGCAGGAAAAGCACTTGATTGGCGACTAATTATGTCGTTGTAAGGGAACTCATCTCGGGGGACTGGTACTGATTCGTATAGAATCCATTAATGGATGTGGACACGAGTAACTATTGCTGAATCACAAGCAGGACGGAATTATGAACGTTGACGTTTGTACCACATCAGAAAAAACCCAGTTCGGTATCTCATTGCCTGGAGTCATTCATTCGCGATTCAATTCCGTTGATTTTAAATTATAGATTGAATAAGAGAGATTTCATTTTTTTTTATCGACAGAGAACTCGGTAAAGAAGCTTGAACTAGCTTTCATTGATAATTGGCGCCATCGACGGCAGTCATATGCACTCGATCGTCAGATATGTCGATAAAAACGAGATCTATTCCTCACTTGAAAAGTATAGTCCCTTAAGAATATTTGAATTTTTTTTCCCAGCTCCGGATATTACAAAAATGACTTTTTTTTTGTATGAAAAATAAATATTAGTTGATAGTTTTGATAAAAAAAATACATTATAGAAATGACAGGCTGCAGGTACGCGATCTATGGTTTTTTGATCCATTGAAAAATGGGTAGTAATTGTTCTGCCAGCCTAAGAAATAGCAGGAAGAACCTGAAGACCTCCTCACAAATTTTGTTCTCCTTCTCCCATGATTCTCGAAGTGGCGGCCGCGAGGTTCGACAGTCGAGGTCCAGCCTCTCGATTTAACCCATCGATTATCCTACCCCCTACCACCAATCAGGTCAAACTTAATCATACCAAAAACTGCTAAAATCTTCATGAATTTATTCCATCATCTTTTTAAACTTGAATAACTCTTTTTTTCTGTTCTTCCAGGATTATGAACCTGATATTTACGTTCTTAGTAGCCAACCTCATGGTAGCTGGTAAGTACCAATATTTCAATATTTTATTTCTTTCAATAGTCATAATCTTCTTCATTGGACTCGCCGTTTGTTCCGGTTAATACGGAATAAATTGGATTTTTTTACGGTCGATCATAAAAAATGAGGAATATGAGGACGGATTGTTTTTATTCTGAAGTTAAAAGTCCGTCCGAGATGAAGTATCGACTTCTGTTTTTATTTTCTTCAATCTTTGCGGTCTCATCTTCGACTTTTAAAAATGACTCATCACCATTTGAAGATTCCTCTGAAAATTTGGAAAATAGAAATTACGGGTTTATCACTCCCTCAGAGGCCTGTTCACGACCTCCCTCCTCAATAAAAGAGCTCAAATTGATCGGCGAGACCTTCAAGCTCCTCTGCCAGCATTTCGGTGTGTCTTCAAGAGACGAAATCTCAATTTCAATAAATGCTGCAACAACATTTGATCCAACTGCCAACCATAAAGCCCTCTTAGCACAATCCTTCAACATCGTGAAGCCGATGATGATCTCCTGCCTAGAATACATCTTCGACAGCTACGACCTAGCCGGTACCGAATCACCTCCCGAGTGCCTGAAGAACCTTCTAATAATCCCAAACCGTAACCTGCAGATCTTCTGGCTCCAAAAGTTCCCCATTCTTCTCCACTACCTCGAAAAGGTCATCAAAGGCTACAAGCAGTTCAATCCATCTCGATCCATCATAAACAAGTACCTCGACCAAGGAATCCTCAATCGTTGGCGCAAATTCCATACCTTCGACTTTGCCAGAACCAAAATAAACGCCTTCAAGAACTCCCCAGTTGAAGACAAGAAACAGAGGCTAAAGATCATCATAAATGAGCCACCGAGCATCATGAATATTTGTAAATTTCCCTCAGACTGGCTGCGTCGGCCAGATGACTTCTCTAATCACTGCCTCCAACGTATCCTGGGTAACATTCTCGTACTGGAAAGCGTACTGCAGTGCAATGGTTTGACCCTTGAGACAGAGTTTATCGGTGGCAAGTATCTGCCGCTTCATCTACTTCACGTCGTCAAAAGTGTACTGCGGGGTCAGCGAGCCACCTCAAGGCGATTCCTGCAATCGAGTAACAGTCCAGTTTACGAGGCAGTGAGTCAGGTTCACAAGGTCAGGGCTGCCAGTGTCAAGTGCATGGATGAATTACGGAGGCATTTTGACGAGAAGAATGAAAAGATTTCGCGCCTATTAAGTGGTGAGAGCGTAGTTGCTTGTTTGGACAAATTTGTGGAGATGGTTGTGATGTTGAGGGAGATGGTGTGGATGATGAAGGATCTGAGAAATGTAGATGTGGAGATGGCGCAGGTGGTGTTAATGAAGGCTGTGATACAGTCGTATCAGCAATTGTGGTTTGTTAGAGATGTTGTTGCGGATATTGTTCATCACCAGATGCCGAGATATGTTGTCGATTATCCTTGGGTAGAAGCGTTTTTGAGGGAGTGGGCAAAATCGACCATTGCTAACAAGTTTGCGAGGCTAGATAATGTTTTCGTCTTCATTGAAGGGTCACGGAGGAAGGCTGACTGCCATGAAGAAGGTGATGACGAATGCTGGTTGGAGTATATTTCTTCTTTGATCCTTCTCGAAAATGAACTGAAAAAGGACAACATTAGTCTGCAGCATGTCTTCCTCGGAGATCCTTTTCATATGAACTTGATTTACATCATTGATGAGGTATTGAGAAAAAGAGCCCAAGAAAGGGAGAAAATTATTGCCAAAATTTGGATTGGTGGACCTGATGAGATTCAAATCGATGGAAGTGCTCTGAGGGAACAGTACAGGTGTCATCAGGTATTAGAAAAAGAGATGTACTTGACTTTTAAGGGGACGGAGCTGGACGTAACAAGTGAGGAAAGTTCTCCAGGGAAAAAGAAAAAGAAAGGATCAGAAGGTCTAAAATTTATGACGATAATTGAAGCTGTGACTGGGGTGAAAATGTCGGGAGAATTTTCAAAGGAACGTGAAGGGCGCAGAGGACTTGCTGAATTATTCTTCGAATTGAAATCTAAAATCCAAAAGGCAATCGAGTAAATTAGGAATAATGAGTCTATGGAACAAAAATATCAGGGGAGTGTTTATTGATAAATCGAAAAAATAAAATTCATGCGGAAATGAAGCAGCAAATTGAATTTATTTGAAAGCAATTTTTAAAGAGAGTACAAGGAAGCATCGGAGGGATAATAAATTCAAACTGAATTGATTGTTATTTTGAAAGCTCATCCACGAGTTCGCGTGGCAGACAGAGTAGTACGAGTGCAATGTTCTAGGCTATCCGATCAGGATTCTCGATTCAGCAATGCAAAATGCCACGGCATACACGCGCCTCGTGTTTCCCCCCGTGACGGATGTATCTCCGTGCAGAGTTACATTCCGGCACGAACCACGCGTTCCACAATCCTTTTCTTTTGCATTCGTTTTTATCCTTATACATTTTTTTCCACCTTTTTACCTGGCTCTTCGTCAATTTAAATAGTGTAAAGTCATTCATAGTCTTATGGTGAGTAAGAAAACGAATTAACATCCTTTCCCTATGTTTATTAGCATCCTCATAGTATGTAATTATAATTATGGCATAATAGGGCGGAACAGATGACAAAAATATAGATTTTTATTACTTAGGAAATTAACAAATATTTTCGCAATTGACGATGAAACTTGCACCATCAGAAATTGGATAACGAAGTGCAGTCCCTTCATTACCTCCATTCCCCCTCAGTGAAATCCTTTATTTCCAATTGATCCTTCTCCCCACGTCACCCGCGTTCTACATTGATAAAACTGTCGTATTGTCCAAGCCAAATCAGAGCCTCCCAAGACGTTACCCTGGCGTTTGAGATCGCTCGTTTAGCTCCCTCTACACGCTTGTTAAGGACGCGTCGGTAGCAACAGTTGGTCCCGCCGGATTCAACGACAAGACAATGGGTTTACTTCCCTTACCCCCTCCTTCTGCATCCATGGTGTATCCATTTATCCCTCTTCCTCCCTCACAAAATGTTATACCACAAACACAATACCCTCCCTAGAGTTGCAGCAGAGAGAAACATTTAGGATTTATCGCTCTGTTAATGTTATTTGATTTGAATTAAAATTGTTTTCTTTTGCCAAGTTAACTGGGGAGACAACGAGACCGATGACTACGGTGATACAACTAAAACAACGACTATAGTGAATCAGGATCAGCTTGAGGATTACGATCAGTATGAGATTAATGAGTATGAGGATGTGACACGTAAAATCTATCACTGCGCCGCTAGGGAAATAGGGAGAAATGATTCAAAGCCAGATCGAAGAGTGATTCAAATGCTGGATGACAATGGCATAAGCTCACTCAGACAAAAACCATCTCACTATCTGGTAATTTTAATCTATCTCGACGTTCAACTACGTTGAAATGTGTATTTAATCATTCTACAGGTGCGCAATGTACGACAAAAGATGTGTCAAGCTGGATTCAGTCCCTTTCACGTGGATATAGGATCTGGATCGATACATAAACGATTTAAGAATACGCTCAGGCTCATGATATATAATACCCCGGGGATGTTCCCGGGGATCAAGGTGATAAGGAGTGATCTAGATAGGAAGAGGAAACGAGAGCCACAGATTTGGTTCAAGTTTGAGGGAAATGGGAATTCATTGAGTGCTGAGTTTGATTATGATAATTATTTTGTTAATGTTTATGGGGATTTTTCGAGGATACAGGTTATCTCGAAATTGCTGGTGGCTTTTAAAATGCATAAGAGAATCAACAGTTTCAATAGCTCAATTAGTGATAAGGTAATTTTTTTTCAAGAATGATCTAAGGGGGGTTAAATTTAGTAGTGAAGTGGTGATTGATTCGAGGATTTCATTCGTGCCAATGGAATTGATAGGAATGAAAGAAAGCAAAAGAGTTATAACACATAAAGTAACGGTCAGATGGCTTCTGCCAAAAAGGCTCGAACCCCTGCTTGTTTTAAATTCTTATTTATTACTTTGGTGTTATCGAAGTACAATTCTCGATTGGACACCCGCAGCCTGCCTCTCCCTCCTTTCTTTTTTACCGCCCGTATTCCCCCAGTCACCTTGTCAGTCACCTTGGCCAGTGAGCTATCGGGCATCGTCATACTCTTCCTTCGAATTTAAGGATGATTCGGCAAAGTGGAAAAAATGGAGACAAAATTATCAAAAAAAGGCAGGCAAGGCTGTAAACCCTTGAATTTTTCCATGAAACTTCGAATGGCTTAATATTATTTAACCCTTTTTCGTGAAAGTTGGACTATATTATCATTTGGGCGGTGAACTGGGGATGGCCAATCCTTACGGTAAGTGCCTAGAGTAATGAAAATGTCTCTTACGAAAGAAGGGCAACAGCTAATTCAATTGAGAAATTTCATTCATTGATTCCACCAAATATTGCTGTCAACAAATCAAATTTTTTTCATGACCAAAACAATCTCCAAGTTTCTAAGGAAATGCCATAACGTTTTGGTCAATTTTAGCGCATAGGCATGTACCAAAAATTTCATGGAAAAATCTAACAAATTCGTTAAAAAATTCTATTGGATTTTTTTAGAACTTCTATTGAAAACGCTCTTAGGTTTTTGCCGGTTCTATTGTGAAAATCAGTAGAATTTGATTCTTCTATACAACTTATTCTATTGAGATATTTTCTATAGAAAGTTCTCATGCAAAATTTTCTATGGTTTTTGAATTGATTTTTTTCAATGAGAGAAGATTGAGAATAGAGTAAGAAAAATATTGAAATTAATCTTGAGGAATTTCTAAAGCAAACATCTCAGTACAATAGAAACATTAGATTCTATAGATCTCTTCTGTGAAATAGTTCCCATTGAAAAAAACGGGCTGGACAGTTGCAATATTTTCTAACAAAAGCGGTGAAAAATTAATGAAATTACCAACTGAAATTCAATAGAATTTTTAAAAGAATGCGCTTGGTTTTTCATGAATTTTTTTCATACGTCCGAATTTGATCTGCTAATTTCAAATTCCGGAACGATGCAACATTCCCCCTTCCGGTTCGTCTTCAAATCATTTTGAATTCATTTATACGGCCAGCCTTCGTCTTTAGCAAATTTAAATAGGATTAATTGAGATTATAGCTGGACAACAACATGACTAAAATTTCCTAAAGAATCTTTTTTGTAGTGGAAAATGAGAGCCCAAAACAGATCCCAACAGAAAATTACTTTCTATCATTCAGCGATATTACGCGAGAACTCCACTAGTGTCAAGTCAACTCCTTATCCTTCACCACTTCACTACATTGAGTAAAATGTGAGATAACTAGGTTGTTTGGTTTCTAAATTATGGAAAATTTAGTGATTATGCTCTCGTGATTTGTTGGTATTCATCCAATAGCAGAAATGACATAATACCATTATTACCTTGGAATTTTCATATTTAACCTGATACGAATTTAAATGGAATTTCTGTACGAAACTCTCATTGATTATCACTGAAACTACTCTAGCCGAGATTGTTATAGTTACGTTCTAAACTGCATTGATAATCATAATTGGCTAGGCAAAATTTGACAAGTGCCTTCCTTTCGCATATTTCATCTATTTATACTAATAACGGCTGTCTGTCGTGCCTGCTATTAGTTGAATAATCATAGAATTATCCTGAAATTATTAATCATGGAATGCATTATCTAAATTATAAAATCACCACACTATTACGATCAGTATTTTTCACCGAACATGAGTCATGCAAAAGACTATCTATACCAATAACTCATTGCACTCATTGCTTACGTCTACATTCACCGGAATTAATGAAAACCCGTTTCACGTTAAAATTTTCATAATTTTCTCATTATTGATAAGGATGTTGAAAAGAAAACACAGACATTGATTATAGAATACAAGAAGTAGATAATTTATTACTTGTGAATACACAATGAGAAAAGACTCTTCAAGTCAATTTACTACTCGATAAAAACTTCCTATTCGTGAACATGATATTAAATTTAGTTATTTTTTATGCAAACTGTTACTAATTCAATCTACATCGCATGGATAACTAAACTAAATTAGAATTCAATGAAAAATTTTGCATAATTTTCTTTTTCAGGTTAACTTAGACTTAGGAATAATGGAGGTTATCCTCGCCAACTTAATCACAACCCTAATGAAAGACAAAGCGTCGGTGAACCTGTTGGTCAAAGCCCTGAACGGTATCCGCACAGACATAAGCCCGGAGGGCGATGTCCAACTAGGCTTCGAGCAGACTATGAAAGACGCAGTGGACCAGATCGATCCACTTCTCTATTCCTCCATATGGTTGCAATCCACAGCGGAGAAATTCGAAGTAATTCGCCCGAAAGAGCGATCCAAATCAGCATCGGACGAGCCCCGCCAGAAGAAGAAATCATAATTCATAGTTCAGAAAAATCAAATAAAATTTCCTCAACTCTTAAAAAAAAAAACAGATATAACGAGTTCACTTTTTCCCCCGACTGGCTCGATGGGATCCAAAGGACAGATTGTTACAGAATTCTCACAGGGACGTCGCGGAGAAAAGGAGACCCATCCCGTGTAGCCCCGTGGGGCAGAAGGAGTGCTGGACGCGTTATTTTCATGCGCCGTTACTCATGAGTTTACGAGAGTATCGTTGGCTTGCCTTCTGGTAATCCCAGTCTACCAACTATTTGTACTTACGTTTCGTCCTGCTGTAGGAAAATTGGCCTTATGTGTACAGAATGAAAAAGCACGTCGACAATTTCTCAACGTCAACTGCTGGCCTCTCTCACAACGCCCCGCGGGTCACTAATCGTTCAAACTTAAGAATTAAATTAATCGATAAAGGCGTGAACTGTGCATCGAATTTGCGTCTTAACAAGTAACAAGAAGCATCGATCCTCGAATCGCCAAGTATCATTTATCGTTGAGTTGAGAGGGAGGTCATTGAGAATGCCAATAAATCGGACAGAGAGTGAGTGAGAAGGAGCGAGAGAGGGTAGACAAGCGGGTTTTTCAAATAAGAAAAAAGAAAATTGAAGGAAGAGGGAACGATTAAAAATAGAAAAATAAGATAGTGACGATGCGAGCCAGCAGCGGGAACGGCAGCTCGAGGCTAATCCGGGTGATCGATCGATTCGCTTCCCCTCTATCTCTCTCTCTCTCACTTGTTGAGACCTCTCTGTCTTGGTTCTGGTACAGAGATGTACGTATATACGTGTATTCACGATAGGCCTCCTAAGTATCGTCACGCTTGGCCGGAAGACCCATCTCACAAGGCGAATACCCGATACACCACATTGGAAGCGAATCCAAGTTGTACGGGGGACAAGAAGAGGTGGAAAAAGGATCAGGAAGAAACTTTGTAATGATGGTGAGGGACAAAGGGGCAAGGATCAGCTAGAAAAATTTGTTGCTTTAATTGAGCTAGTGATGCTATTCGTAATAGATCTATAATTTCTTCAGAACGTATTTAACATTCTGAGAATCAACGTGACGTTCACACGTCACGTGTTGAAACTGAATGGATAATTTTTCGGTTTCAGTTGAATTGCTGATTGGAATCGTTTAACTAGTAGATTAATGATTATTGGATGAATTGTTTACTTCGTAATCGAGAGGTGAAGAATTGTATTTTTTGGATTTTTACATTTTCCAATATTGCTCGGAAAGGATCTAGAATGTTATAAAAGTGGCTATATTTCCTACATCGAAGCTTTTTCCTTATTTCTTCCTATAAGGGCATTGTGCCCGCAGATTCTCGTGATAAATTATTATATTCATCAGAGAATAAGCTTTCTCGATTTGTTTTCTGCTCATCTCTTGATTATGTAATTAAGGATAATCGGGCAAGGAGTAAATGTAGGAGGTAAGGCGGAGGGGTTTCTATTGTTTTCCTGCAGAAAACCAATCGCTGAACAAAAAATTTTTTCCCATTCGGATTCAAAATTCAGGCAATATTAAGGAGTATCTCCGGTTAAAAATTATTTTTGGAGCTAATCAAATTTATTTGTATCTGTTCCACGCATTGAATGGTTTTCAGATTGTTTTTTTTTAATAAATGATAATAAATGATTAATTTTTTTAATAAATGAAAACACGGAATCCAGATTAACTGTGCGTTTCCATTGAGACTTCGGCAGCAGTCGACATAAACTTAGCCGTACTTGGGGTGACTTGAGGTTCCGGTGTAAATAGCGACAAAGAAATTCTCGCACGTAATACCACAAGAGCTTCAAAATAATCAGGTATTTCCTGACAGGTTTGTTGCAAACAAACGAAAGAGTCAAGTTTTTCAGGTGAAAAAAACACGAGCGCGAAGCACGTTTGTATGCAGGGAACCTTGAGGGAAATACCTGATTAATTTTGAAGCTCGAGTAGCATTCGGAAGAGAATTTTTCCATCCAAATTTCGGCCAAGAGAATTGCACTATGAGACAAAATCCATCTATCAATTCCAATGAGGGGCTCACTCGACCAGGAAATTTTTGTTTTTCATATATGTACATGGAGAAAATTATTTGGTGAATTTCAACGACTAGTTGGTGAAATTCAACGACTAATTAACTAAAATTCGGAACAAATTATTCAATTTCATTCAATCAATTTTGCCAGGAGACTAGATGGTGAGGGCATATATACAATTGGAAACAATTCCGCAATCATTTATATCTGCGACAATCGATCAATGTCTCCCCGAGAAGATATTTTCAGCTATAATAGCCCAAGACCTTCAAAATGATCGGATATTTCCCGAATGTTTTGTTACATAGCAACGAGAGGGATCTGTTACAGTCGAATAGTGCAGTTCTATTGACTGCACTTTGGATGAGAAAAATTCTCGCCGAAAACACTCGAGTGTTTACGTTTCGAGCCCCGTGCGTAGGTGATGAAATGGGAGAAGTGCTCACGCAACGAAAAATTTATATGAAGGGAAATGCGGCTATAACAAGTCAATTGTAGAGTATAGTAAAGAGCAAAACAATAAAGATTCATTCATCTCTCTACGAAATTTCTCTGTTAATCCTAAAATTCTTTGAAAATGATGTTAGTTTAACCTCCACTTCTTTCATCTTATCTATACCATCCACTTCAGTACGTTCGAGGGTATACATATGTATATATAGATATGTCGAATGTCATAGAGAAGAGCGTAAAACGTAATATGTTACAGCAGCGAGGATTTCACCGGGTTTTCATTGCTCTGCACTACCGTAAATATGTACTCAGGTATCCGTAATGCATCTGCCACGCCCTCTCTTCTGTTTTTCTTGTAGTGTTCTTATTTTTTCTGTCGCGCTGAAGTTTCTTGAATTGTTCCTGGACCGTGTATCTCTAACCAGTGAGATCTGTCGAATGATCCTTCGCGCCGAGTTTATGTCGCTAAGTGTTGGAAATAGTTTCATTAATTTCATTGACCCAAGACTTGCTATGTAATTTAAGGTGGCACTACTTTTTATTGCAAATGCCTTTCAAGAGTACAAGTGCTCGACTACACGCGAGCTCAATTTTTCGAAATTCCGGTGATAATAATAGTCGTTGAAAAATAACAGTTATTATTGCCGGAGATTTTTATTAGGAAAGTGGTTCGAAGTAATATATTTAATGGATTAGAAATTATAGTTTTTATTTCCGCTGGTCAAAATTATGATTTACACCCGAATATATCTGAGATACAAATGTATACCAAATGTGTCTGTATCCAATGTAGGATCCATGTATTTGCTACATTAACCCTCTAAGGTGAAAGTAGGTCTGCGTTATGCCTTGTCCGATGGGGTGGGGACGGGCGATTCTTACGGAAAGTGCGTAGAGCGGTGGAAACGCCCATTCATCTCAGAGGGTTAAAAACACTGCTTTCATTGTTACAAAATTACGCCTGCAATTTAAAGTAAAAAGTCTCGAATTTCTTAAGACTATATTAATTCTTAAGATTATATTCTTAAGATTATATTATATTATGTTAATTTATTTTATTGTTTTCTTTCCAATTTTTCTTTGCGGTTAGATTAAATTAAATTTATTGGATTCTAATCCCATTGTAGTATACAAATTGTGGGAACAGTTTTTTTCATTTTCAAATGAAGAGATAATTATGTTAAATAATAAGGAGAGTATTGATACTTTTTTTGGAATGATGATCTATATATTTTTCACAATTACATATTGTTCAAAAATTTCTTTATGTACTACATTTTTCATACAACTATTTCCATCTTTTTCATTTTTTATGCTACCTCCTTCATTTTTTTTTAGATGCCGAAAAAATATCAATATGTTCCCTTTCTATGATCTAATTTCAATGAAAGAAAGTGAAAAAAAAACAGAGATACGTGATCAGTAAGAAAATGAAAATTTCGATTTTATTTGGATATGAATTAGCTGAAGTTGAAGTGCCCGCGATATTAACGAATCTTCCTTTTTTTGAATGAATTTCATTCTTCGCCATAATTAATAATTAAACCAGAAGAGATCCTTATCATTCAATGTATGTAATCTTCTCCTATTTTTGCCCCCTCCCTTCTCCTCTTCACCTCTCAGTTTTCAAGCCAACTCAAATGCTAATGGGAGATGCGATGCTCGATGGCAAACGAAACACATTCCACTGAAGCGGAGATCCCGTATCAGGGCACTGCGAGTGGCCTGTTCGTTAGGGCACATAGGCACATAAGATTGCAATGGTGTGTTTACTTGCTCTTCGTCCAAAGAACTTGAATACAACCAGAGCCATCAACTTTTCTACTTCCATTTTTCTTGTAAGTTGGGTGTTTTTCAATATAACATTATAACTTGTGTCAATTACACTGAAAATTTTTAGTCCCTCCAATTTTAGTGGAAGAGGTTATCTAAGCTCTCTCACCAGTCCTGATCGAACTTTTCATTCTCCTTTTTTTTTGATTGTTCAATTCTTGTTCTGTTTATATTTTTTAGTGTGTAGAGGGAAGATTGGAATCTGCTTCATCACTTGAGTTAATGAGTGCAATCTCGGTTGATTTTCTCTACTTTGATTATTCAGTACTGTTTTCTTTATCAGGGTTATCGATTTCCGATGGAATCAACATTTCTCTGGTTGTAATGAAGGTATTTGCGGGAGAAGAAAAGCGATCATCATATGTTTGCTTATAATATCAGTATCGGTTCAGACCACGGAGCTGCAATTGGTGCACATAACGATCAGCATTTTTTCGAAACGAAGATAAAATAAAATAGATGTCTGATAAAATATAATGATGTCTGATAAATATAACTATTATCAAATTGAAACTAATTTTTTTTTATTCATATTTCTTTCCTACTACTATTACGGCTTTATAGACTCCTCATTCATCTGCCTTGCTTCTCTCACTTCTCTCTTCTGAGTTTTATCTCTGTTACCACGGACCGTCTTACTGGTAATGGGGTAATATAGTGACTCCAACGAATTTTTCGAGGAAGTTGAATTATTTTGTCATCCAATATAAATAGAAATTGAAATCAGGAAAAAAATTGAGTCGGACTCAATTAGGTAAATAACTTGAAGGGGGTGACTGGGTCAAATTTTGGCCTTTGTGGAGTTCATACCAGCTGCGTCCCCGTCGCGAACCCTGGGTAATGCTAAGTGCTGGTGAAGCTTGATACTTTGAAAAATAAGTGCTTCACTACACGTTGAATTTATATGAACACCTCATAATTGAAATTTCATAAATTGCTTTTAGAAGGGAAAGCGCAGAAAGGGAAGTCCCGTACATCTACATGAGCATCCACGTTATTAAGTGTGATGGCTCAAAGGAGGTTAAATTCATTTATTGCAACTAGGTTCCAATAGCCAACTAGGTTGTCTTACTCTTAAGGTTGTTGTCGTGTAACTTTTTTTTCGACATTTTTTTCCAATTTTGATCGCAGATAGCTCTAAGAATTAGCTGTAAAATAAG